ATTCAGTATTCAACAAATTACCGGAAAAGATACCAGAAATACCAAGTGCATGAGTATTTCTTTTTAAGCAAAACATACTTAAATTCACAATAAAATCTTAAATATTATAATAAAAATAACTCACCATCGCTGCATGTCAGAAACGCCGGCTTGACAGGAACTGCATGGCCCAATACATTCACCACAAAAAATCTTGTATCACTTGTATAAATTTTTACATCTTTCACTACATTTAAACAAAATCTAAACTACGAACCTTTTTAAACTTTAAAAACACCGAAACTCATTTGCAAACGTACCTTCACCATCATTCACACAAATGTTCTGAATAAAATCCATGACAAATCGGAATTTTAATTTCACTATTCTGTAAACATCTACTCGTATGCGCCGGTACGCAATGCAACTGACTTTTAGGTAAAAATCCTGACGGTGACTTCGCAATCCATCGAGAATTTTCGTTCGGCGTCGGTCTAGGATTTGATTCAGGTCAAAGGCCAAATAATGGAGAACCTAGTAATATATGCTATTTTTAATCGAAATGAATCGCTTTTCAAACGTACAAAAATTTTAAACAAACAAAAAAAAACTAGTTGGTATTGGTATTTTGCACGAAAACATTGGATTATTGCAAGTTACATGAACTTCCCTAAATGTATAAATAATCGATTTAATGAATAAAAAATAAATTAACTTATGAGTGATTAAAAGTATTCCGATTAGATTTATTACACATAACGAACACGTTAACTCGGAGTATTTTGTAAAAACAAATTTTCCAAGATCAACAATTTTTATAATTGACCCAGTTTCCGTAGTACTTTAATGATTTAGTGTGATCATTGAGATCAAGTATTCTATCTTTATACCAAGTAAATCGTCTAATTTTAATTTTAACAAACGACAAAAAAACTACTCATTTTCACAAACTTTGATGAGTTTTTAAAATTAAACTACCGTAAGGCCGTACTATTTCAGTAAGTTTTATAAGGCCATGATATATATCTCCAAAAAAGTTTCATAAAAATCGGTTTAAATTTTTTTCAACAGTTAATTACAAGAAGACGGCTCGGTTAACTTTCACCTAAAACTTATCAGTATCATTTCCAACTAGTATCTTTCGAACAGGTTTGGATTTTTGAAAAACGATTCGGTAGTATGAGCTTAAATGTGGAAGAAAGGTTTAACACTTTTTTCCAAATTACGAAGAAACGGATTGGCAGATAGTCGCACAAATATAGTCCTTATTGCGATACATCAAATGGCTTTTAAATTTCTGATATATGTTCAGGCGTTTTTGAGAAAACGTCGATCAAAGGTCTAAATTTTGCGAATGCCAAAAAAACGATACTAATTTTTGCAAACTTTGACGAATTTTCAAAATTAAACGACTTGTCATAGGGCCGTAATATTTTAGTATGATCTATAAGACTATGGTATCTACCATCAAAAAAATAATAATAAAAATCGTCGAAAAAAATGTTTAGCACTTATTTACAAGAAAACGTCCCGGCCGATCTTTACTAAAATCTCGATTCCCAACCAATATCTTTCGAACGGTTTTTAAATTTTCAAAATCGATTCAGAATTGCGGCCTAAAACGTGGACGAAAATTTTTTCACTTTTCTGCTATTCATAAGGAAACAGCTTGGCCGATCGTCGCACAAAACTGACAAACAATAATCCTCATCGAGATACATCGAATGTTTTTAAATTTTTGAAATCATTCCAGTCGTTTTTAGGAAAACGTCAATTTACGGCAAAAAATCTGTCCACACACACAAACACACATACTTTTTCCAAATTTAGTCTTATTCGATTCAGAATGGCTTGAAACGTCGAGATAACATAAAATTAGCAAATCGGATTTTTTGATGAAAACATAAACTTCTCCTTCGGGAAGTTAATAAATTAGTTACAGCACTGAATCCATGTTCCACTAAGTATGATGACGCAAATGCAATCAGAAATTATTCAATGACAGACCTTTGTGAGTAAGCCGTCGGGATCCCAAGAGTCTAAAACAAGAATTGGCTTTAAACAATTTTTTGGGGCCAGTTTGAAATATTTACCTTTTTTAAATTTGTATTTTAGATCAAACGGTTCTGAATGCCTTTAAACTTCGAGAAAACATAAAATTAGTAATATTTTTGTGATTTTCATTATTTAGGCGATTGTACACGATTTACATACTTAATATTTAATGATCAGTATATTAGTATTATATATATAAATCAGTATATCAGTATGCCAGATCGCATTTACCATGGCTTTTAAAATTTAGATTGTTCCTAGAATTATTTTATATTAAATGTACAAAATACTTCATATTGAATTCAATAACCATCCCTATCAGGAAGTCATAAACAACTGTCAATAACAATCCATTATCTCTTATCAAAAATATCATATTTCCCGAAACCGAATTACGTCGAACAACCTGTTTCAGGTTTCAATACCAGATATTTCAAAGAATTGATCGTCCTTTAGCAAACAACACTTATCGAAATGAAAACAAAAATTTCGGTGTTCCTAACTGCGACGTGGGATGGTGTATGATGATGCCACTGGGGAAATTGATTGAATTGCGTATATTTGGAAAGTGATCATATTAAAAGTGCGATATATAATATTAAACGCAAACATTACGTGGGCACATGTGAGGAGTTCGGTCAGAATTGGATGGAACGAAATGGTTTCGATGTTACTCATGGCACCACGAGAAAAGTAAATATGCTCTTCTTCCAAATAGTATAGTTTTTTAAAAAATAATTGAAAATACATTTACATATATATGTAAATAACAATAAATAATATTCTGATATTATTTTAACTTCTGCAATACATAATATTTAATATTTAATCAAACATATAACAACAGTAAAAAAAAAGATTATTTCACACTATTGTTATGCGAGATTGTTTAATTATTTCAATAATCTTCACGACAAACATTAAACATAAAGTCTAAATATCTATAGACTTGTAACTAGGCTTGCACCGAATATTTGGTTACTATCGGTATTCGGCACCTTTTTTATTATTCGGCCGAATACCTAATAGTAACTTACTATTCGGCCGAGCACCGAATAGTTAAAATCAAAGGCGCCGCCGCCGCTCAGCGCCAGTATTGTTGGTGCTTTATCTTTTATGCGATAAAGGGCAATGGAATTGTATTTAGTTTATATAATATGATATAAAGGAGTGAATTCGTTATTGTATATATAATGGTTTAAACTTTATCGATTTTAGACATTATAAATAATCACGCGAAGAACTTTTTTCTGAATATTCACAAGATACTTTATTGTTATATGTTTATATTATTTAACATAAATCATTCAATGATTAGACGCATGTGTTGTATCAATACAATAAAGTCATTCATTGTGTGAAATCTAAGCATTTCCAAATAAAGAGCTGTTATTAACTCTTTATCGCAAAATATACAAACAATATTTTTGATCATTTTTTATTTATGTATTTTGTTATGATTAGTATTCCCAATGTATAAGAAATAATATTGAGTTTATAAAAGAAGAATATTAAATTTTTATGAAAGAAATAATTGAAAATACATTTACATAAATGTAAAGAATCTTTTTTTTTCATAACTTTGCCAGTTTTCAGTTTCAACAAAATCTTTATCCAAGGAAACGTATAATAGCAACAGCCGAAAGCAATAAAGAACCATCAATTATTCGGAAAATTAGATATTTTCGAAAAGTAATTAGGTTCGACAATGACTCCTACAATCCAACCATCTCGGCCACGATATACATAACAAATATACAATGGTACATATAAAAACCTAACGTACCCAATGAGAGTTAAATCTCCAATAATCGCCTAAATCATAGATAATAAATCCAGATAAATAAGTCTATAAATCCAGATTTTTTTTTCTACTATTTTTCTAAATTTATCATCTGCCTCATTTGACTTTATAACATATCCAATGTCTCATTTTAAATTATGAGTGATTTTTCCAAATAAAATCGTTATCTACCCAATGACAACCCCTAATTCCATGGGCACATTTTTACAAAGGTTTTTACAAATATTCATCAGTAGAGTTGGAATAACTATTAATTTGGTTGATATCTTGTAAAATTCCTAAATCAACCAAAATTGCTCGTGGTACATATTTGCCTCCATTAGCTTCTGTGTAATAAACTTCAATACGCTCCAGTTGAAGATCATGATCCCCATGATAGGCTCCAGTGGGATCAATACCATGTTCATCAGAAATTATTTCCCAGAACTATAATTAAGTTAAGTTAATATACTTTTTATTTACTATTATTTTTTTTATCCTTTCTAACTACTGTAAGCTTTTATAGAGGTTATACAAAAAATCTGTTGAATCTAATTGTAAGATAAAAATAACAATGCATTTCATAGAACCATTAAATAACGTAAATGATATTTAGGTATTGTAAATTAAAGTGGACCTTTAATCTCCGCTCTACACTACTATATTCATATTAATTTTTATATTTGTATTCACTTTTGCAGTATCTATATGATATGAATAAATGTGTGTCTAGCAAAAAAAAGAGAAGGCGAGGTTCAAAAGGGTAAACCATGGGCTTAGGTGGATCGGCCCTTCAAAGTTAATGGAAGTCATACATTTGGACGCAATTGGGTCATTGGTCTAAAAGGGTCAAAGCGGAATTTTTCAGAATTCCACCTTAATCTTTGGGTCAATCAATTAATTTAAACTGATCCCTAGAATCAGGAAATCATATGTACCTAAGCAACTTTTAAATCGACCTGCACAAATATATATGTCAATTTACCACGAGTTTACTTGAAGTTTGAAAAGAAAGAGGAATACAAGAAGAAAGGTATAAAATGGTATAATAGACATTATAAACTATATAAAAACAATGTAATATTTTTAAAAATGTCTTTGTTCGTGTAAAATCTCAATGTTCCAAATTTAACAATGTATCACAGCTTATTATGTACATACATAAATAAACTCATTTTGATATACAACAAATCATCTTGTTTAATTATGACAATAAGTAGAAATTCAATTATATAAAACATAGTCCAATTATTCTAGATCTAGGTTTTGTAAATACATAACTAACATGTTAAGATTAATAATTCATAAATTTTCAACAGAAGTTGCATGCCAACCAAAACATTATTAACCACATTATCTATAATAAGATTATATTGTTGCTAACATAATCTTAATATAGGTGCTGTGGCATATATATGAAATTAAAATATATTCTAGAATAAATGGAACAAAATTAAAATGAGAAATTAGTTCTCATCCAGGTCACCTTCTTGCTCTTCATCAAATTCAGCATCTTCATCAGCAGTAGCTTCTTGGTATTGCTGATATTCCGATACCAAGTCATTCATGTTGCTTTCAGCTTCAGTGAACTCCATTTCATCCATACCTTCTCCTGTGTACCAATGCAAGAATGCTTTTCGTCTAAACATAGCTGTGAACTGCTCAGATATTCGCTTAAACAGTTCCTGTATGGCAGTAGAATTTCCTATAAAGGTAGCAGCCATCTTAAGACCTCTAGGTGCAATATCGCACACAGCAGTCTTAACATTATTTGGAATCCATTCCACGAAATAGCTACTGTTTTTATTCTGAATGTTAAGCATTTGCTCATCAACTTCCTTCATCGACATTTGCCCTCTGAATATAGCTGCCACAGTTAAATAGCGTCCATGTCTTGGATCACATGCTGCCATCATGTTCTTGGCATCAAACATTTGTTGTGTTAACTCAGGTACAGTTAATGCTCTGTATTGTTGACTTCCACGAGCGGTCAAAGGAGCAAAACCAGGCATAAAGAAATGTAAACGTGGAAAAGGCACCATGTTTACAGCTAATTTTCTCAAATCAGCATTTAATTGACCAGGAAACCGAAGACAGGTGGTTACTCCAGACATGGTTAAAGAAACCAAATGATTCAAATCCCCATATGTTGGGGTTGAAAGTTTTAAAGTTCTAAAGCAAATGTCATATAAGGCCTCATTGTCGATACAGAATGTTTCATCAGTATTTTCTACTAATTGATGCACAGATAGTGTTGCATTGTATGGTTCAACAACTGTATCTGAAACTTTTGGAGAAGGCACAACAGAATATGTATTCATAATCCTATCAGGATATTCCTCACGAATTTTGGATATTAAAAGAGTACCCATGCCAGAACCAGTACCACCACCAAGTGAGTGTGTTAGTTGAAACCCTTGTAAGCAATCACAAGACTCTGATTCTTTGCGTATAACATCCATTACTGAGTCTACAAGTTCAGCACCTTCAGTGTAATGGCCTTTGGCCCAATTATTTCCTGCACCTGATTGACCAAAGACAAAATTATCAGGTCTGAAGATTTGACCATATGGACCAGAACGAACTGAATCCATGGTTCCAGGCTCTAAATCAACCAAAATTGCTCGAGGTACATATTTGCCTCCATTAGCTTCTGTGTAATAAACTTCAATACGCTCCAGTTGAAGATCATGATCCCCATGATAGGCTCCAGTGGGATCAATACCATGTTCATCAGAAATTATTTCCCAGAACTATAATTAAGTTAAGTCTCATAAGCTATAAATATATTATTACTTAGGAAAGTTATTTTTAGAATGGAATGTGGCGAACTAATAATAAATATATTCACGACATATTAAAAAAAATCACGATTTTAAAAAACTATGACAAATTGATAATTTTTAAGTAGAATACGTAATTGAAAAGGATGCATAAATTAATAAGACAGCATGTATACTAACCTTTGCACCAATCTGATTTCCACACTGTCCAACTTGAATATGCACTATTTCTCTCATTTTTACAGATTAGTAAATTTTACTGCTACTTTAATAGATAAGTTTAGTTTCAATTATTTTATTTATGTATAACAATAGAAAAATGAACAACTAAAACACACGGATATCATACGACGCTCCCTACTCGAAGCTCAGAGTGTTGAAATTGTTCGACAGAATAGCAAACTTACAAACACGAATTCATGAAAATATTTTATGACCTTTTTATTATAACTGTGTTTATTCTATTTTATATTTTCAATTATAGTTCTTATAAATCATACGCTCATTTTACGCATTTTACAATATTATCAAAATGATTGCTGTAATGTAAAAATAATAACGTATTTTAACGGAATATAACGGATACTCACTTTACCTCAATCTAGACATCAAATTATTTAACCTAGGTTATGTCGATGTCGATGCAGTCATTGGGTGTGCATCTCAAACTTTAACATTAATTTATAAATTTTAACTCAATCTAATTGTCGCTCGATCATTTTATATCCATATCAATAATAACAAATTCATGCTTTTACATTAAAAAAGCAGGTTGACACTTACATTTTAATGATAATTAATTGGTTAACCTTGTACGTAAACCCTACTACAATTAACCTACTTCTATTACTTGTATTCCCTTGACAATATGTTGTTATCATAAAGTTTTTATATATTTTAGAAAATTTTAGTTCTGATCAGTTCACGAATGTTTAGACTTAAGTTGTTAAATATAGTGATTAGCTGAGTAAATATCTTACAATTGTTATATAGCTCAGTTTACCAAGCATAGTGTAGAATAATTTTCATCAAAATGCTAACACCTAGATTCAGTTTGAAACAAGATGACCAATTTGTATACCTAACCATACACGCTCCATACTCCAATATAAAGGACAATGAATGCCTCATTGAAGATTATGATTTCATTTTCTTTGCAAGTCCATATTTTTTACGTGTGAGACTCCCTGGCAAGTTGAAGGATTCTGATCTCTGCGTTGGTGCATTTGATTGCAATGATCAAACATATTCTATAAAAATTGAAAAAGAAAATCATGGCGAGTTTTTTGAAAATTTAGATACTATTACCAATTTATTAATTCCTTGCAGCCCCTTAAAATCAAAATTTGATGATAAAATAGAAGTTATATCCACAACGAATTTTGTTGAAGATGACGAAACGGAGAGTAATTGTGAAAACCAAAATGTTTTGCATAGCAATGGGTATGGTTTTGGAAATAAAATAAATTCAAAATTCACAACATATGATACTTTCTTGGAGGTATTCGATTTTTCACCTGATGTTATAATTGAAAATCGAGAGGAAAAAAGATTAGAAATTGAAAATGCAGCATTTTCATCAGATCATTATTTAGCGGATCTTTATGACACTGAATATATAGATGAATATATAAAATTCATAGGACCATGGCAAAAACATTTGGAAGAAAAATATGTACACCAATTATCTGGTTCAGAAATTGATATATTGAAAGAGCTACCAAATAAAGAATATATTCTTTCATCAGTTGAGAAGAAACAAATATTAGTAGGCATTTTAGATATTCTTTATCCTTATTTGTATGAATTGAGAACAACTGCAAATGATTTAAATACAGAATCCAGTTGGACAGTTAATAAACTATCATCTACATTATGTTGTTTTGCATCATTTGATACAGTTGAAAAAACCATTATCAGCCTTTTACGTAGATCACTCATTTACCCACTATATCGAAATTATGATCTATCATTAACGGTTTTGAATGATGTTAAAGTTATATTAGAACTTGGTAAAGTATATGTAATAAAATTATTCACTGAGATTCATTCACTCTTTAATGTAAGTCAGTCTTGTAGATATATATTAAATGACTTATATATCAAAGATTACTTAATATATCTTCAGAAACTGAATGAAAATGATATACAATATTTACTATCAAAGTTAAAAAGTATTCAAATAAGCAAAGAAAAATTGTGTTTGGAGTTAACAGAGCTAGAAGAAGCAGCAGAAATCGTAAAAAATGAAAATGTAAAAGATTATGAAGAAATCATACACCTGATGTCAAAATGTAATAAATTAACTATTGAAAGCACGGATTCTGATGATTCTAGTGATGATTCAACTGATGAAACGGACGATGATGATACCTCTGATACTGAATCATCAATAAATAATAATGACATGGAAAATTATGATTGCAAACTCTATGCAAATGCTTCAGCCAAATAAAATATACTAAATAAAAATATTTATAGTTTTTATTTCATAAATGAAAATTATTGTACATATTTATCAGAAACAATACAAGAGATATATTTATAAAGTTTCAAACGAAATTACAATACATATGATTCAATAAATTTATTTGAGACTATTTTTGTGTTTCATTCATTATTATTATATATATCAATAAAACTATTTGTTTTACCTCATAGAAATGAAACTTTGGGAAAGTTACTAGAATTGTGCTATTTTTTAAGAACTAATATAAAATTCAAGGTTTGCTCTAAGTACTTAATCCTAAGATTTATTTCTGTATAATTATTTTGATTCAATATAAAAGTTTTTAACTTAAATAAAAGTTATATATCCTATTATTCATATATTATCTGATAATAACAAATATACAAATAAATGCCAATTAAGATTTTGGTTTCATCATCTTTTAATCACATACATACTTGCCTCTTCATACAGCCTTTGATGTATGATTTCTTCCATTTCTATTTACAGTTTCATTAGACTCAGCACTAATCATTCCTATAAAGTAAAGTAAACATTATGATTTGTGACAACTGAAATTATCTGAATATTATTATAAAATGTAAAAATTATGATAATATTAAATATATAATATTTTCCTCAACTTCATTTTGAAAACTGAATGTTTGATAAACAATAGATACATTTTATGAACAAATTTTTTGAATTCATACTACTTTAGTTAATTTATGAAAAGTTAGTTCACTAGCCTTTACTCAACTTCCGAGAATCATCCCGTCTATTGGCATGTGAATTGTATTTATTCCTGTATGGTGATGTTGGAGGGCTGATATCAGTCTCTGTATCATAAGGCGAAATAGGCCTCCTGTAATCTGGACTATAAGCTCTAGAATCTGGACTATAAGCCCTGCTTTCTGGACTGTAAGCCCTTGATTCGGGTGAGTATCTCTCGCTAGCCATGCTGGGTGAATAGTGTCCTCTACGTTGTCTTGGGGGACTTGGTAATCTTCCTAATGGAGGAGGTCGCATGTCACCCATGAATGGGGGCATGAAATGTGGTGGAGGTGCTGCATGATTTCCTATCGGTGGGGGAAGGAATGGTGGAGGTAGAAATGGTAATGGAGGTGGTGGAAGAATTGGAGAAACAGCAGAATTCATGAGAATTGGTGATTGAGCTGATAGTTGAACTTCCAATGGTGAGGAACCTCCTAAAATTATAATTATAAGTATACATCAAATAATAATTACATATAAAATTTTATTCATTCACATATTTTTACTTATAAATATGCAAATGAACCTTATTGGGAATGAAGCTTGTTTCTTAAAAAACAAACAAGAATGGTATTCATTCAGTTTTTGTATATTTATCATGTTAGATATCTTAAGTATTTGAGATGATATGATAACTTACTTTTCTGCATGTTTTCTTGTTCGACAAGTGAAGTAAGCTTTCTTCGTAAAGAACTTGCTTCCTGTCGGCTTTCTTCGAGTTTTCGTTGCGTTTGACGAGAGTTTAGCCATGCTTCGTGGATCCTACTCTCCAGAGCAGTTACTTGGCTTCGATGTGCTGCGGCCTGTTGCTCAATTTCTGAGTGCAGGGATTGATTTTGAGATCTTCAAAATACAATAATTTTGTTATTATTATAATTTTAACAATATGTAAATAAAATATCATAATTTTATACAATAATAGAAATTTTATAATAATTATAGTCCTACTTTAATGATTGGATTTCATCTTGCATTGAGTGTAAGCGTTCTACTGTGCTGGTTGCTTCTCCTTGTTTTTGTTGCCATAATGCTTCTTGTATACCAAGCTCTCTAGAGATAAATAAAACACATGAAAGTTTAGATTACATATTTAAAATATAAATAGATATTATATAATATATTAGATTACTTCTGTAATTGCGTTTCTTTTTCTTTAAAATATCCAGACAAAACTTCCAAACGTGTCTGAGCTTCCATTTTATCTTTTTCAGCTTTATGATGCTCTTCTTTTAATGCCTCTATTTCATTCATTAATGTCTAGAACAATAATAAAATATTTTTATTTCAAAATATGCAGTCATATAAATTCAAATAAATTAACAATTATTCTAATAATGTACCTTTACATTTTCTTCTAATTTTTTTTTCAACAAAGATTCTTGTGCATCATGTTCTTTCAAAATTTGTAACTCAGTTGTTGTTCTCTGTAAATCTGACCGAAGTCCAGCAATATCAGCTAATTCTGTAACATCTAGTTGACTTCCACTTTTTAGTTTTTTTATACAGTCCTAGAAATAAATTGAAATTCATAAGAAAAATTCTTGAAAAGCATTAATTTAAACTGAAAATCTACCTCCAAAAGCTGTACTTGATTTGTTTTAGTATATAAATCTCTTTGGGTTTCAGTCAAAACAGATCGAACCTGCTGAATTTCATATGCATTTTCTTCCCTAATTTTTAATAGTTGATCCTGAAGAGGTTGCAGCTGCTCTTGGTATTTCAATTGCTCTTCCTAGAAATATACATCACATTAAAAAAAAATGAAATATATATTTTTAGTATAATATATTATGGATAATACCTTGAGCAATAAATTTGAACTTTTTTCTTGATTTAGCAGTTTTTGGGCTGTTTCAATTTGTTTTTCATATTCGTTTAATTTTGATTGTAAATCATTATTTTCTTTATTTCTTGTAGCTAAAGCAGCACTCATTGAATTTATTGTTTCTGAAATGGCATGTAATTGAATTATAATATAATAAGAATAATTTTGTTGGACATAACGATTAAATATCTTTTAGTGTTTACTACCTTTTTGTTCATTTAATTGCAATTGTGCATGTTCCATACTTTCAGCGATAGTATCCCCTTTTTGAGCAGTCATCATCATATCCTGAAGCATTTTATTTAATTCCAATCCAGTCTCAGTAGCAGCTTCAAATTCCTTTTTAAAACAAAAATAATATTAAATTTAGATTAAATTATTTAGTTTTTCACAGAATTGAAAATAAATATTATACCTTTTGCAAATCCATTAATTGCCTCTCTTTATCTAAAATAGTAGCTTCTAATTTTTTCTTTTCTTCTTGAAGTGAAATGACTTCTTCATTAGAACCAAATGCACCTTCTTTGATGCTTGTAAGTTTAGTTTGTGTTGAATCTAGTTTTTCCCTTAATATTTCACACTCCTTAGATGATACCATCAGCGCTTGTTCAAGTGTATTAACTTTCCTCAATAAACTACCATCCTACAAAATTATATTATATGAGATATTTATCTATTTGAAAAATAAGAGAAAGAGATTTTTTTTAATTTTGTTATATAATACTCACTTGTCTCCATTTCTCAATAAAATAATATCCCAGAGTAAATATAAGAACAGTGACTGCTGTTACACTTAAATAGATAATAGTTGTACCAGAATTTACTATCATATTATCAATGGACGAAGTTGAAAATAATGTATCTGATTCTACTAAAATGTTTGAAGCCTTGCAATTATCTGCTGCACAAACTTCTTCATCTAGGCCAAAGATAGAAAAATAAATAAAACTAGATTAGATAATATAATATCTAAATTGATAGAATCTTTTACAAATAAAATTTACCTCTACGCATTCGTGACAACAAAGCATCATGCCCATCATCCAACATGTGGTTCAATTCCTCATGATTGTCTGGCTTTATTTCAATACTTTCGGGTTTTGTAAATATTAAATCATGCACCCAACCAAAAAAGCTAGTCTCCATTTCATTGCCAGAATTACTTTGCATTTCTTCTTGTTGTGAGTGTTCTATATTTTCTTTCAGATTTCCATAATTAATTTCTTCAACAGTTCCTTTAGCTTCTACTTTATTTTCTTCAATTTCAGTCATCAATTTTATTTCATCCTGTTTTAAAGAATCAAATTGCAAATTTTGTTCAATATCATTGATTTTATTATTAGTTTCAACATTTTCTGCTACACTATGATCATCAGAATTTTTTTTGAAAGGTGGATACAAGTCTTCTTGAAGTAATTTCAGAGAATCTTTTAAATTGTTGCTTATATCTTCATTGCTTCCTTTTAATAATGGATCATCAGCTAAATTATTTTGAATACCCGAGCTGGCAATATTTATATTGGGTGTCATAATTGGTATTTCTTGGTCTTGCATTGAATTGTCTTCTGATAAAGGTATTTCATTTATAACAGGTAAACCAGTATTTTTAACATGATAATCGATATTTAATAACTTATTATCTACAACAGGCATGTCAGAATTGATTCCAGCACCATTTAAAGGAGATGGTTCAATGATTTCATTAACAATAACTTCTGAAGATTTTTTGATATCAATATTACTTGGTGGAATATCATGAGCACTAACAAAAGGCAAACTTGTTGTAACAGATTCCGCGATAATCATAGATGGTTGACTTGTACTGAGTTCTTCTGAATCAATAGGCAAATCTTGCACTACTGTATTATTTATTTGTGCTGATAGTTCAACAGCATCATTTTTTATTTCCGGCTCCGCTTTCAACAAGTCTTCAGAGTTTTGAACTTCTTTTTTAATATCATCTTTTATTGATTCAGAACTAGCATTTGCAATAATTACATCTTCTTTAGCAATATTTTCATTTAACAGTACACTTGGAATTTCCAATACATTCTTTTGCTCGTCAACAACAGTCTTGATATCAGCCTCACTACCATCTGAAACATTATGCATTATATTTTCTGTCTCTGCAGAATTTTGTATTCTTTCTAATATCACATCCTGGGTTTGCAATGTACTTGCTTGTACCTCCTTTTCAATAATTTCTTCTGATGATAAATGCTTGACATCAATTTTGATTCCATCTTCAATATTTTTTGAAATATCATCTACAACAACTTTTTCTTCTAAATTAGGAGCAGTTAATATTTCCTGTTTAATATCTACTACATCTTCTGGAGTTGTAAGTTGATTTGCACCTAATTTTGGTGCATCATTTATTTCTAAATTAATATTCAATTTATCTATACTACCTACACTAATTATTTTGTCATCTGCCAAATCAGAGTTCACATTAATGTCCACTTTATTTGTTTCATAGTTAGAATTTGTTACATTTTCTGGTACAGTTTTTCATTCAATGTTTCTTTGATTATAGTATTTACTTCTTCAGTTTTTGGCAGTGGTGAATCCTGCAGAAGCATTTCATTGCTTGTCGAATCTTTTGAAGATTCGGACAAAGAATCTTCAATATTTTGCTCTGGAACTATAGTTGTTTTCAATGTAGTAATTTCATCAGATGTTGTAAAAGAATCTTTGTCCTCATCTGAATAATAGATGGTGGTTTGACCAATAACTTCATAATTAGTTGGCTCTGGTTTAAGATCATGAATTTTGTCTGCTTGATCCTCTGCAGTATTTTTAATTTCAACAGGAGGAGCCTGTAGCTCTTCTGTTTTAGTTTCAACGATTGTTTCAGGAATGTTGCTTTTAACATCAGAAGCATCTAATTTAACATTTACATCAACAATAAAATCCAAATTCCTTTTCAATATTTTATCTTCCCTTACAAAACGTTTAGGAACATAGCCTCTCACACCATTAATTTCAACCCCCCATAGATCTTCTCTAGATCCTGCAGACTTTGAAAAAACTATCACTTTAACGTTTTTCTTAAAAGATAAAATATCTCTGTCTCCACTTGGGTAATCTACAAGAGTTCTGCCAGTAGATACTGGTTCTAAAAATGAAAATAGAATGAACAGTAATTAATAAAATAGAAAGAGTTAATAGTAAAATAAGGGCAAACTTTTTGAACAGAATTCGGGTCATACACATTAACTTAAGAAATAATATTTACCTAGACATGCAGGATCTCCACATTTTCGTTTATCCGATAATACACACAACGTTGTATTAACTAAACTCAATAATAATATAGAAATTATAACATACGGGGAAAACTTCATTTTCTGGCTAGGCCACATCACTCAGTTTGACAATTACATTGTAAAACTGATATCACGACATCTAGTAATATTTAAGAAAAAGAACTTTGCGCAGTATTGCCATGTGCGACATATGTGACTTGGATAACAGATTTTTTAAATCTTTATTGAATAATTATTTATAACAAATATTTCGTATATAATAAAATCTTATAAATATATATATATATATATATATATATATATGTCGATTATATGTCCGTGTATTTTTTTAGGAATGCACCGAATATTCGGTTACTATTTGGTATTCGGCATATTAGGCACTGCTTAGATTTTCGGCCGAATACCGAATAGTAACTTACTATTCGGCCAAATAGTTATAATCAAAGGTGCATTATAAATACATTTATATATATATATATATATATATATATATATATATATATATATATAGAATTTTATGATATGAGTGGAACGAATATTAATTGTTTAATATGAACAAAACAGCACTCAGATTTGTTTAACACAACTTTATTTTATGATTACAGACGTTTCGAGACCATGGTGTGTCTCATCTTCAGTGTAATTTCAAAAACAGTTACTTATATACTACACATTCTTTAATAATTTATTTAAATTTTATTTACACAGTACTGTGTCAAGCATTGCAAGGAATAGTTGGTGTTTTTTGTATACCAAAAATTAAATAAAATTTAAATAAATTATTAAAGAATGTGTAGTATATAAGTAACTGTTTTTGAAATTACACTGAAGATGAGACACACCATGGTCTCGAAACGTCTGTAATCATAAAATAAAGTTGTGTTAAACAAATCTGAGTGCTGTTTTGTTCATATAAACATTATATAAATATATTATATATATATATATATATACAGTGGCGTCGGAACCAAATTTTTGATGGGTGGGCTCGTTTTTTTTTTTTTTTTTTGATAGACAGCCAGTGGGCTCGTTTTTTTCTTTTTAGAGATATTATTAGTCCACATATTTTTTTCTTTTAGAGTATATTATTAGTCCACATAATTTTTTCAAATTGATGGGTGGGCTGAGCCCCCCCATCAAAATTCATGGGTGGGCTCAAGCCCACACAGCCCACACGGTTCCGACGCCACTGTATATATATACGAGGTCTGTTCAAAAAGTTTTCGTAATTTTCGTTTTTTCAAAAAATATTTATTTATTCGTCTAGTCCCCCCCAGATATAATACACTTATGCCAGCGTTTTTTCCAATTTTCGAAGCACCCTTGATATTCACTTTTTGATATGTCTTTGAGCACTCTCGGCGATTTTCTTCAATCGAGGAAAACCGCCGTCCTTTCATGGGTCTCTTCAACTTTGGGAATAGGAAAAAGTCACACGGAGCCATATCTGGTGAATTTTTTGCACTTTGCAACACTTTATTTCATTTTTTACGCAAAATTTAATACAAATTCTTTGACTTTTTCAATTCTTCCATTGTAAAATCGCCGAGCTCAGAAAAACACGTCGAACCTTAGCGACTACCACAGACAAAGTAAACAGTGAATATAGCTGAAAATTTCATCATACTTTAGGGGCATGTATACCAACACAATAAAAAAAAAATTTTGACAATCAGACACTCCAGACCCGCGAAATTTAATTATTAGTAATTCCGGGTACTTTTTGAACAGACCATGTATATATATATATATATATATGTGTGTGTGTGTGTGTGTGTGTGTGTGTGTTTAATTTAAGTTAAAAAGTCGGGCGTTACATCAATAAAAATAGTAAGAGTTTTTAGAAATTTATTTATAATCCATACGTTTTGGCTAGCATCTTAGCCTTCATTCAGTGGCAATCAATTTAAATATAAAAATTAAAACTAAATATATATTATGTAAGAAATTTCATAGAAAAACAATAGTAATAATAATAATAAACACTTACAATTTTGTTACCTAAACGAAAACATTATTACATTATTAACCCATGGTATGAATATGTGCACATTGGTTAACAATATGTTTTTCAACATCACAGATGGTAAAACACACAAATAAACATGATAACTTAACAAGTTGTCGAAACTATGTATTTACTCTTCGGAGTTTAGGATAGAAATGTCACATTTTTCTCAAAGCAGTTTTTAGCATGTGTTGATATTTTTTGGAAAATTTAAAAAGCGATGGGATTTTGTTATTTTTTAAGAAATTTTGACACGCCATTAAGAAACCATGTGTTCGTTTCGTTCAGGGCCGTATTGTCTAATTGTTCGTTTATGACCCTGTCGTTATGTAATTGCAAAAACAACCCTTCAGCAAATCTTTTAATTGCATTCTCTTCAGAATGAAAAATTTTTGGGTTGAAAAAATCTATATTATGATTAAATTATTTATATGCTCGATTAACATGGTTTTGAATTGTTTGGGATTTTTTGAGTTATTATTATGTTGATAAAGACGGCCTCCATTGTTTGGGATTTTTTGAATGAAGACATAAAAATAACTCAAAATAACTCAAAAAATCACATATATATATATATATATATATATATATTTATTTATATATTTATATATTTATATATAAGCCTTTACAATGACGGTTTATGGCCAGTTTTTTTCATATTAAATTTTAGTGCAATGAAATATGCAATCTTTTCAACTTCCAGCCAATAACTTAAAGATCCAAATAATTGGACATTATAATTTTTAACATTTATTAAAAAGATACGTTTGTAATGATACATATAATTAAAGAATGATAAAAAAATAAAATGGTTTTTCTCAATTCATTTTGCATTTAAGCAATAAAATTCTTATTATTATATAAATTCGTATTACATTTTAGTCTTCAATCAGAAACAAAAATTAATAAAGAAAAGGAATTCTATTCCTCGTCTTCTCTTCTTGGTAGCAAACATCTGTAATAACATCCTTGCAAACAACATTTACGATTTTCAGGGCATTGTGCATCATGTTGACACTCCTGTCTTAAACTTAAGACACACCATAATTGGTTTGATGCGGTTATTCCTGTCGTTTCCGGTTGTGCTGGACAACGCCCAGGTTTACCTGCGTTAAAATAAAACATCTATAGTATTTTTTCACGTTAATTAAAAGTATATTGTATAGTGTCTCGGATCACTAACGGTCTAAGCAATTTGCGTCTGGTATGCAAAGTTTGAACAAAGTTTTAGAACAATCGCATTTATGGCATCCGTGATAGTTTTGAACATTCATTCTGCAATGACCTGAGAAAAACATAATGCAACTGAATGCCTTAATGTTAAAATTATTAAAACTATAGTGCAAATAGTGTATATTCATTACTTATTAAATTGTTGCATTGCAAAGGCATGCATCTAGTCCTTCTTCCTATACAACCACACCAGGTACAACTATCGTAGAAGAATAGACCATCCGGCATGCATTTTCTATGTCCCAGACCTGAAAATAGTAAAATCAAATTTTATCAAAATTGATTTTTTAGTGATCAGCATATTTTTGGATTAGTTTTGTTTATCAAAATATTTAGATTTTTTAAGATAATTATATTATTTTTAAAATAAGTATAATATATAATAATAATCTAGTAAAATGAACCATTATTAAAGACCCAGAAAATTCTAAGTGTTGTATTTGAAACAAGATGATTTATGAATATTTTATTAAAACATGATTTGCAAAATATTCAAGACAAACCCTCTTGAAAAGCAGTTTCGACACATATAGAACGATTTCCTGATTTATGGCATCTGTGAGTATCCGTAAAGATAAGAGCGGGCAAATTTAATCTTTCTGAAATCATAAGAAGATTTTTACAAATTATATAAACTTATATATTTGTGAATATATTTCTAAAAATAAGTACAATTAAATTACATGCTTATGCCTTTAATAATTCTCAAAGTTTTGCATATGAATTTAGAGCGCTTATTACGTATTATTTAAATGTACATTCTACATAATAAATGCTGTAATAAATAAAAAAATAATTTAACTCATATATTTCTAAAAATAAGTACAATTAGATTATATGCTTGTATTTAATAATTCTCAAAATTTTGCATATGAATTTAGAGCGCTTATTACGTACTATTTAAATGTATATTCTACATTTATATAAATGTATTAAATTTATTCAAAATATTATCGTATAACTACAACACTCATGTTTAGTGAGGAAATTGGGGGATGCCCACGAGTGCTGGACACCCAAGGTTATTTATAAATAAATCAAAAAATATTTTACAAAATGTTTATTAAATTATGACTTATGTTAGATAATAAAGTTAGAAATCAAACTAAATTATTAGAAACGCAACCTTTGCTAAAAATAATTAATACTATCAATCAAACTTTGGTAACAAAAAATATGATTTTAAAAAGTGGCACCTAGTACCGTACATTTCAAAATAGCCTGCATTGAATACATATGTAGCCATTTCTACACTCTGGAATGTCTGCACATGTGTGTTTGACGAATATTCTTAGATATTGCAAAAAATCACTATTTATCCACTAGCTCAAAATATCATATACTAATTCTGAATTTATTGCTATTAGTATACAATGAGCTACTTATTAAATGATAAATTAACAAAATTGGAAAGATCTTCAATCATATTATGAATTAAAAACTGTGTGATAATATATGCAGCCACTTCTAGTGAAATGTACTATTTGAAAAAGCTTTCGATAAAAATATTGTGCAAATAATAATTTTAAATATATTCCTGTAAAAACTTCTTATTGGATATAAAAAATCGGTAACTAAAACTTACGTGAAACATATTTACATGCGGATACATCTTTAGTACAAATAGGTTTTCCGGTATCTGAACACTGGCAAGTTTTACATGTTTCCTTCCAAGTTTCTCCAGGTATACAATCTGAAATAACAAAGTATTTAAATTCGTAAAAAAGGCAAACATTTTATAATATACTTCCTTTATACGATATAGAAAAATATACGTTTTTCATATGAAGTAATAAATATTATATAATTATATATACACTATGTAAAATATTTTTATATTCTATATATATATATATAAATATATATATATATATATATATATATTATATATATATATTTGTGTATTCATGTAAACACACGATTGTATATAAGATCTATTATTTCTTCATATTTCTATCAGGAAGCCGCGGGGTATGTGGTTTTGATTATTTCTGGGTCTACGGGGGATTGCAAATGATTGACAGCAAAAATAATTAACAAAGACTTGAAAATATATTATTTTATGTACTTAATTCACTTTTGCAATGTATTATAATGATAAATTTATAATTATAAAATATTCTTATATTGTATCAACATATGTACAAAATTCAAGTTGACAATGTAAATAGTTTTCATAATTTGATAAATTGGTATTTTTGAAGATTAAAAAATTTAATTGTTATTAAAAATATATTTAATTAACATAAACAAAAAATAACTTTATTTAGAGATGAATATATTACTATATAAAATTAAGTAGATTGATGATGAGTTTATGCATTTATTAAAAAATATTATTTTCATCAAAATTGTTAATATTTTCACGTAATTCACAACTCACCACTAGTCAGGTAATCGATTAGAATAAATTCAAATTTAGGTATAATGGATAGTAATACGACAGTCAAAACCTTCAGTTCCATAATTGTTTCTAATATTTGAAAATGTATTTCTAATTTCTGAAAAAGAATTTCTATAATTATACACATATTTATAATTTATGCACAGAAACAATTATTATTGAAAACAACTATACATTTCCACATATCAGTTCATTTTAAATAAATATAAAATCAATAATTTCATAGATGCAACAAAATTAGAAACAGATTTATTTAATAAGTGTTACTTATATTATTTAATATTTACATACTTAATATTTACATACTCACAACAGCAAGTTCACGTCACTTCTTCAATTTTTTTAGATAGAATTTTAATCTATTTTTCGCAATGTACACTTTTTCTTTCTATAGTAATTTATCTCATATTGTCATTAATTTGATGATATTGCTAAGAATTGATTATCACAAGAAAATGATCTTTTTGTAAAAATATAATACATATATTATGTAAAAGTTTTTTTTATTTATCAGAATTTGTTTGGCATTCTTGCAAACTACATGTGTTTAATCTGATATTGGCTGTACTACTGCGTTCATATTTCAATTTATTGAGCAATCAACGAAATAATTCATAACCACCAAATGTTTATTATTATTAAATATCCATTGACGTCCTGCAAAAGTTTGGGAATGTTACATTTTTCATATATTTATTTAGCAATTCATACTATAAACTAGATAAATCTAAGGAATTCATTTTGGTAATAATGCAATAGATAAACATTTATATCAATGTATCAATCTATATCGTCAAAATATGTGAATTTAATTCTATATGTAGGCATTAAGTTATTTTTTTTTCAATTTGTTTTAATATTATTTACAATGGCTGATCTTAATTTAAAAAAAAAGAGTGCGCGTAAGGATCACACGCGATTGAAGTAAAACTTGTAATATTGTATGAGTAGGCAATTAAGATAAAAATAAAAAAAACATCATATTTGAATTTTAAAATCATTTATAATAATCAATATAACAATCAATAACACAGTTTAAAACAACAGCGATAGATTAATTGCATATATGATATTGCATATATGATATAATAGGTTTGTGATAACTAAAATGAGAGACATAAATTTTGCTTTGTAAACTATGTACATTCTCGAGAAAACTGCATCAATAGTCGTGCCATATCTTGTGGTTGATTCAAATGGAGAATTATTCATTGTTAAATTAAATTTATTATTTAAAAAATCAATTAATGGTTGAGATTCTTCTGAACGAAAATTGACATTGAAATCTCCAGCAAGAATTAATGGTATCTCGTTGTGATTAGTGTTTAAAAGTTTTGCACCCTCATAAGAAAAATGAAGTAACTGCTGATGAAGAAATTTAATAATATTTGATATGTTTTTATGGGAGAAATGTAAAGGACGACTATAATTAATGTTTGATTCTGTGTGTGTAATATCACCTACTTGTGTAATTTCATTAGGAATATCCAGTAATATCGTTGGCGCAAGAAACTGCATAGGAGTCGCATTATGAAGAGTATCTGAACATGAATGATAGACAGCTACACCACCTGCTCTTGAGTCCGATCGTTTGTATTGAGTAATGCAGTAATAGTTCTGAATATCAATTCGTTCTTCATTATTAATCCAAGTTTCCGAAAATAACAAAAACGTACAACGTTGTAGCACTTTATCTTGCAGATCAGGCCAATGAGCTCGTAAACTTTGGCAGTTAAAGGAAAACAATGAAATGTCGTTCAAACTTATTATCTCACTCAATTTTTCTTCTTGTGTTATTAATCTACAAGTTGAAAGTCTTTGGAATTCAGTTTTTAAGTTCATTAATCCTGCTGGCCGTTTTCTTCCATGATAAAATTTTTTGAAATGATGAACAATCCATTAATGCTGGTAACTCGTGATAATGCAACATATAGAAGCTGCTGATTATATGTTTTATTGTATTCATATACAATTTTATCAAAAGTACCACCTTGTGATTTGTGTATTGTGAGTGCACAAGCAGACACTAAAGGAAAATGATTTCTTTTGACAAATATGATTTTATTTCTATTCATTGGAATAGATGAAGATCTCCTGAGAATCGGCACAGCTGTCCTACTGATATTAAGAGTTTGAATATGATGTGCAGCTTTCTTCTTATTTTGTTACCTATCTTACCAGGAAATTCAAACCATAAACGTAGAAGTTCATCATTATCGCCACGTTCTATGTACACTAATTTACCTACACAACCATGAGCTAAGCCATCACTTACATCAATATTAGTTGTTATAATGTAAAATTTATTCAGAACTAAAATTATTTCATACGGCAAACCCCCGGTATCAATAACCGATTTTTGTGAAACTGCTGACGAATGTATGATTGTTGATCTGTCGCATGGCAACCTACACAAATATCTGTGGCAGTAGATATTATTTTGTCTTCAACGAGATTCAGTATAAATTTATTATATTCCATGACACATTTATTCTCTAAGAAAAGTCTTATTCCATGAGGACATAATACGGCAACCTCTTCTTTTGTAAAAAACGTAATTCAATTAATGCAAGTTCATATAGGGTTTAGCGCTCGACTTACGCATGACATGACGGGAGTGGATACTCGCGACATCAGCGCTTATGGCGTCGTAGTGTTCAACTTCACGTTGGCGTTTTCGTTGCATTTGTACGGATTTACACCCGTGTAGCCTAAAGAAATTTTTACACCCATATCGCGCCTAAAGAAGTTTTACTTCAAAAAAGTCAAATATATTATCTCATTTAATAAACTAAATTTAAATTTAAAATAAAGTAGACTTAGGCTCCACAGGTAAACCGATATTTCAAAAGCAAATAAAGTGTTAGGAATTATTTAAAACCATGGTTTTAAATGCCAGCGCAAAGCTTCATTTGATTCTTTTTATACCACCCCAAGCTTTTATAGAGGTTATATGAAAAAAAAAAATTAAATTTAACAATACAAATAAAAAAATAAAGCGAAAACGAAATTAACAAACAATCAAAAAACGAAAGAAATTAATTTTTCTCTTGAAAGCGATGTTGTAAAAATTAAAATGATGACTGGTTATACATCTTTTTCCCTCTATTTTCAAACATGCATGTTTGCGCTGGCAATTTGTTAGAACAAATAGTAAATAAAAAGGTAAATTATGTTAAGAAAAGTAATTTTACAAAAGAAAAATTAAACAAATAGTTATTCCAACTCTGTAGAAAATGTACACATAAAATTTATATTTTACTTTGGTTGAATAATGTAGCTATTATATCGTAATTTTTAACCCAGATAGATGTTTGTTTGATATGTGTTATTTGTTGTGAAATAATTGCTTTGGTTTTTACATTATAATTACTCAAAGTCAAATTGGACTGATTTAAGATTAACACATTTGAATAACTAAATTATTTGTATACACACCATAAGCACTATTATTACCTACTAAGAGCTTGAAAAAGTAAATTTGTATCAAAATTTAATACAAAGGAGTATATGTAACAATAATACAATGGAAGCTTAATTAACTTCATAAATCCGAAATCTTAGTAAATCAAAAAATAAAACTACATTTGAAATTAAAATAATTATTTTTTTGATGGATAAATTATTAACTATTAGATTTAATGTATACAATTTTTAATTTTAAATAAATGTTGACATTTACTATCAATATTTCGACCTGTCAAACTCAATGTAAATTAATTTGGTTAAAGATTAATAAGCGACGCTGAAAATAAACCTCGTCAAGTTAACTTTTGATGTCAACGTGATATTGATTTTCCGTCAATTATTCAATATTGCATTACAGTTGATGTTAATTTGCACTTGACGACTATATATTTATATGCTAAATAAATGACGTTAATTAATAGTTGTGCGAGTCACCCGCCTTTCGCCTAGGTAGGCCGTTATCATATTTTACCCTAATTGCCATTTTATCGCAAGGTGTATCAAATGAATTTAATTAAACAATAAGCGTACTATTCCATTCATGGAAATCATTCATGAATAGTCTGAAACTTGAGTAAAATATACTACTTTTGATAGTATAGTCAACATTCTTGTTGTTAAATAAAATATGTACTCTGGGCGAAGGCTTTAATCAAGACCCCATACGGTGGAAATAATTTTGGATGTAATACACCAAATATTACGCGGTTTTATGTAATATATAATACAATGTTTCTCAAAATATTGCACTTGTAAATGTAAGTGCTATTTTATCTTAAGAAAAGATGCCAAAACTTTTTAACATATGCAAAAAATTTACATCTATCAATTATAAGTGTTAGAATATATCCCATTATTCCAAGCTCAAAATAATTTAAAGGTAAACCATTATTAGGCACATTATATTTTAGGATGTTTGTCAAGGTCAGAAGTTCATGAAAAATTTCCTCAAAATAATCAAAAGATTTTTTTCAAACATTAATTATAAAGCAACGGCCCAGATCATTACACTAATCAGCATAATTCCCAGCTAATATCTTTGTAGCCGAATAATTTTGCAATATCAGGACAGGCCTTATACTTATCTTAAATGTGATTTTAAAAAAACAAATACTTTTTAAAAATACAATTGAGTTAAAACCTTTATATTTTAAAAAAAAAATTTTTTTTTGCACATTTCAGTAAAAACTTTATTATTATAAATTTATTCTGCTTTTACTCATGATGTCTTATGATATTACATCCTATATTTTTTTTTATATGTGTTTTTGCTTTGGGCCATGAATAAAATACTATTCAATTTTTTTCATAAGTAATTTAAAATAAGAATCACTTATTTGTTCGTATTCATATATTTTGTCAATTTTCGTGATATTGAAAATAAAGGTTCAAAATTTTTAATGTAAGAGACTATTTTAGAATTTTGTATTTGGCAAGTTTCTCATTTATAACCTATTGTTTCATATAAGTATACTCGTATATATCATTTTCAGATATTTGATGGGTGTTGTAATTTCATTATCAATTAATTGCAAAGATTTCATTTAAATCTGTACTTTTCGAATACGCGAGAAAATCCGGAATAAAAGATCTAAATCCGATACAAATATTGCTTGTAGAAAAA